GATTCTCCTGCCTCAGCCTCCTGAGTAGCTGGGATTATAGGTGCCTGCCACCATGCCTGGCTAATTTTTTGTATTTTTAGTAGAGATGGGGGTTCACTATGTTGGACAGGTTGCTCTTGAACTCCTGACTTCGTGATCTGCTTGCCTTGGCCTCCCAAAGTTCTGGGATTACAGGCATGAGCCACCATGCCTGGCCTTTTTTTTTTTTTTGAGACAGAGTCTTGCTCTGTCACCCAAGCTAAAGTGCAGTGGCACAATCTTGGCTCATTGCAACCTTTGCCTCCCAGATTCAAGCGATTCTCTCACGTCAGCCTCCTAAGTAGCTGGGATTACAGACACACACCACCATGACCAGCTAATTTTTTTTTATTTTTAGTAGAGATGGGTTTTCACCATGTTGACCAGGCTGGTCTCAAACTCCTGACCTCAAGTAATCCACCTGCCTTGGCTTCCCAAAGTGCTGGGATCACAGGCATGAACCATCACACCTGGCCACACTTTTACATTCTATGTGGCACATTGTACATATAAAGTGGCTATTAGCAACTCTTACTAGCTCATGACACTAACAGAGGGTCAAAGAAGTTACAAGAGGAAATAGGTCAATGTAAGAATTTTAAAGACAGCAATTCTGAAAATCAGAAGTTTATGAAAACAATCTCACTTGTCCTCAGTGAGATGAGAAAATGAGTAAGTAAATATTAATTGGCATTGCCATTTTCTCAAAGACTGTTATTTTGAGATTGTCCATTCTAATTTTTGATATAAAATTAATAGTAGGAGATAATTTTTTCTAATGACTTTTCCCAGTGAAGTAATTAAAAAGATGAAAAGTGCCATGTGCAGTGGCTCACATCTGTAATCCCAGCACTTTTGGAAGCTGATGCAGGTGGATCACGAGGTCAGGAGTTCAAGACCAGCCTGGCCAAGATGGTGAACCCTGTCTCTACTAAAAATACAAAACTTAGCCAAGTGCGGTGGCGGGAGCCTATTAATCCCAGCTACTCGGGAGGCTGAGGCAGGAGAATCACTTGAACCTGGGAGGCGGAGGTTGCAGTGAGCCGAGATCACATCACTGCACTCTAGATTGGGCGACAAAGCGAGACTCTGTCTCAAAAAAAAAAGATGAAAAGAAACCCTGAGTACAGTCCAGATGTCCAGATCAGTGATGACACATCCTGCAGCCAGAGAAGTGAGGGATGGTAAATAGGACTTTCTTGTCTATGTTTTCTCCCTTCCTTCCTTATAGTGAGCACATATTAATTTTACAATTTTTTTTTTTCCATACTGTTCTCGTGGTAAATTTTACGATGTTAAAAAGGAAACTAGGCTGGGCTCGGTGGCTCACACCTGTAATCCCAGCACTTTGGGAGGCCGAGGCGGGAGGATCACGAGGTCAAGAGATTGCGACCATCCTGGCCAACATGGTGAAACCCCGTCTCTACTAAAAATACAAAAA